AAGACAGGTAAGTCTAACAAATGAGGACTGAGACCTCTACAACAGGGTTTTTACGCCTGAAAGCAGGTGCATGATTTAACAAGCAGGTTGTCAGTCTAGATTTTAAGCGCAGATGGAGAAAAAGCGCAGAATTTTTGTAATGAGATGAAAAGCAGAAATAGAGAGTGGCTTGACCCCTTGTGAAGGGACGATCCCCGTGCACGACGGGGTCGGCAGAGATCAACTTGAAGTAAGGGAGAAACAACGTGCTGGCTGACGAGGACAGACAACAAATGACAAACGGCAAGACTTTGTAGATGAAAAGGTGCTCAACAGAATAAAGTGAGAGGCGTGTGCGCAGTGGCCCAGTGGGCACTCGCCATGCAGTTGGAATATTGCGAGAAGGCCAGACTTGCTGACTTTCAGTAGGCGGGTGACTAACTGCTTTGTGAGGCACGGAAAAAAGGAATTAGATGCATAAGTGATCCTAGACTGAATTATTGCTATATACCATAGGCGGGGGGGGGGGGGGAGGGGCAGTGATTGACAGTGCTCGTCCATGACACCAGAGCTGTCCCACAGTAACAGACACTTTGCGTACAACTTGCTCGACATGCGGTTGCCAAGAGAGTTGGTCATCCACAAGGACTCCAAGATACTTATCTGTTGTGGTGACTGACAGACGGATATCGTTGCAACGAGAGAGCTTAGAAGCTCAGGGCCCTACGCTATGCTTTTTTGCCTTGATGACCTAGACAAAAAAAGCATAGGGATGTTATGAATTCTTATAAATTTCTACTTTTTGTTTTTAGACATAACCTGGGATTCGAACCCGCACTATCGCCCTGCATGTATCCCCCGATACACTTCGCATACATAATAATTCTTCCAAGTTGCTTCACGTTATGATCTTGTATTTGAAAGCCCTATTTGAATATGCATTGTGGCCAGCCGTCTTTGATTGTCCGGTACGGTACGGGACAGGTACGGGACAGGTACGGGACAGGTACGGTCGAGGGTAATACGACACCATCTACCGCCTTGATGACGGCAAAAAAAAGAATAGGGATGTTATAAAATTTTCAATTTTCCTATTTTTTGTCAGGCATTACCCGGGATTCGAACCCGCACTATCGCCCTACATGCATTTCCCCATACACTTCGCATTCATACTCATTCTTCCAAGTTGCTTCACGTTATGATTTTGCGTTTGAAAGCCCTATTTGAATATTGCGGCCAGCTGTATGTGGCCAGCTGTGTTTGATTGTACGGTACGGTTCGGGAGAGATACGGGATAGCGCCAGGCGTGACACAAACACACAAACAAACACCAAATTAAAGCTGTGTGGACCCTGGCTAGTGCCGGACGTTACTGAAGTAACAACGTCTTCTGCATAGCTACGGGTATAAAACACCAGGCATTGCACTGGGACGACCACAGAGCTGGATGAACAACACTTGCGTTTTGGTGGAGTTCAGATCAAGTCCAATACTGCACAGCCAATCAGCAAGTTTCGAGACAGCACTCGAGAGAACATTGCACACAAGATGTTTATCCGAGTTAGAGAAGTGGAGGACAATGTCATCAGCAAACTCGTGGTGACTTAATTGCATTGGCAGCATGGCAGACAGCGCACTCGTGACAAATAGCAATGGTCCAAGTACACTGCCTTGGCTTGAGGAACACCTCTGGAGCAATCCACACAGGGGGGGGGGGGCGATAGAATATCAGCCACCTTTATTTGCTGCCTCCGATTATTCAGGTAACTCGTGAACCAGGACAGAACAGTGCCCCCAATGCCATGTTGATGAAGTACTGTGATGAGACGCTGATGAAGTGCTGTGATGAGACGCTGGTGTTGAACTCTGTCAAAGACTTTTGACATGTCCACCATAATCACACCAGTATGCTGGCGCTGAGATCGTGCCAAGAGCCAGCGATTCACTGCAAGAACCAGAGCATCTTCCGTTGAGTGGGACTTGCGGTAGGCAAACTGGGATGCCGGTAGCAGGTGGTGGTCCTGGAGATGGGCCATGATCTGCTTCTTGACACAGTGCTCTAGAAGACGAGACACAATGGTCAGCAAAGCGGCTGGCCGATAGTTTCCTGCGACTGCAGTGTCCCCGCTCTTGAACAAAGGGCTAGCATATGACAGTTTGAAGCATGCGGGTACAGTACGACTTGAGAGTGACATATTAATGATTCTAGCAAGATGAGGAGCAAGAATACTGGCACAGCACTGCAAAACAATACCAGGAATGCAGTCACTGCCACTACCACTCTGCTTAGTTGTGGATATCGCCCACCTCAGCGGCCAGTGGCCTATTGGAGTGACTTTGAACACGCCCTGGATCAAGCATGTGCTGACCGCCTACAGAGTACAGTTCTTTTGAGAGACTTCAACGTCGACTTCAGTATTCCGTCTACGCCCTCTGCATAACCCCTACAAAACATACTTGCACGGTTCAACCTCTGCAACTATGTGGTATCGCCAACTCGCGTTACAGCACAGACGCAGTCGATGATTGACCTACTGCACTCCACTTGAGGGTCCATGTGAGACAGTATAATCTCGATATCAGTGATCACTTTGCTGTTTGGCTCACATACGTACACCAACATCCTGCAGGACGAAAGGAGAGATAGTGATCAGAAGGCGCCGCCTGCACAAAATTAACTGGCCCAATTTCAATCAGGACCTGGCAGCAAGGCTGAGTACTACCAATGCCCATAGTGATGATGACATGGCCTCAGACTTTATTGCAGGAATTCATGATGTGCTGGACCGGCACGCCCCTCTGGTTGCAACCGGGAAGAAGGACAAGCGGCCATGCCCATGGCTCACGCCTGAGCTGGTACAACTGGTCCGGGAACGCAATCATGGCGGCTTCATCCCTTGTGTATGCAAGACCGTGGTAATGAGGAGCGTCGAGCTGCTCACCGTACAGCACGTGCAGCTGCCAGGAAGCTGGATAGATCTCTCTGGAACTCCTATTTCATCCGCCAGGGTGTCACATCCAATCAGCGACAGCTATGGGCCATTATGAACAATATTACCGGCCGGAAGACACAGCGGCAAACTCCAGAGGCGCCCATCGAAACCCTGAGTACTTTCTTCGGTGAGATTGTGCATGATCCAGCCCAACCAGCTGCACTTCAGTCGCCCCATGGCCCCTTACAACAAACAGCTTTGACGTCCTTTCAACCTGTCAGTGTGCAAGACGTTGAGCAATGTCTGGCCTGCATCAACCCGCACAAACCTCGAAACACCCTGACCAAATTCTCCCCACAGAATTTCCAAATCCTGGCATTCCAGGTCCAGCCTCCGTCGTACCTGTAGTGATTTGTGCCAGTATAGAGCTATACACCACCTCCCTGCACCACTGAACACTGAACGGTCTTTCCTGAACATCTTGTAGTTTGGGTATGCATTTCTCCATCAGATGTGGTTGGTTTCAGCCAGGTTTCTGCCAAGGCAAGGACATGAAGTGCACTTCTCTGACCTTGCGCTGAATGCTACATACATTCAGGAATGACACCGTTAGCTCATCATCACAAGTGTTGGCTGATCTCATTGATTGGAATTCAACGCTTCACTGCTGCCTGGCTGTGTATCAGCTCCACCATTGTCGTGACGCGGATATTTCTCGAAATCCCAGTTCCTGCTGTAAACTCGTCTAGGCCAGAAGCGCTGACTTTTTATCAGAGGGATGTAACTGTTTGTCATATGACAATCCTTGCGCAGCAGGTCGTGGCATCATCGTCGTCATCATTATCAACATCATCGCCGGCAACATTGTCCGTTCGGAATATTTTGCATTTCTTGACATTGGCAGTTAGCCCAGCAGCTTTGCATCGCTGCTCCACGAATGTCGTCAATCCTTCATCCGTCGACTCGCCTGCCCCACGTACACTACACCGTTCTTTTCCGTAGGCTTCTTTGGAGTGACAAACTGCCACGATCCATCATCTGAATCTGACATGTCTTCGAATTTGGTCAGAGATTGCAGCACTCTGTTGCTGTCAGCACGACTTGACTGCATTTGAATTTTCGTTTTGGCTGGGACCGGGGCACGCTGACTCTGGTCAGCACGTAGATCTACGGCCAATAGGCCCTCAACCTCTACATCGAGGTCAGAGTTTGAACTTGATCGTACGATCGTGGAGCTGCTGGAGGTTGTACGGTCTTTGCTGTTGTTGTTGCCTCCACTCTTCTGAGCTGCTGTGCTCTTACGTTTCTTCTTCGCGCCTGCACTGGCAATGGCGGCCGAGCTGGTTGATGTTGACTCAACGGAAAGCGAAGTAGCATTGGTGATCATTAGCGTCAGAGATTGTACTTGTTAAAAGTCAACAGGTCTATGCGAACCTTAAGCCTCTTCTCCCTGTCTTCCACTGCGCTTCGTTTGGCTTGGAACAAAATCTCTGAGCTGGGCAATGGAAGTTTGAGATCATGACTCCGGCATTGAGCCAACAGTTGGATCATGATCGCCAAATTGGTCTTGGACATCTACAGTGATCACTCCTGAGCTCATCATTGCACAGTCTAGCCACAATGGACTCACCTTACCAAAAATACACCACTGAAAACTAGAGCGAAAAAACTCTCTACACAAAAAACTCTCCACTGCACTCCAGGGTGACTTTGTATACAAAGTGTAGACTGGTTGTTGCGTGCACAGCAAATCAGACTTACATTTAGCTTTGGCCTTAGGCTTGATGGTGATTGTACTGCTGTCCTCGCTCCTGGGTACTGCAGTGCTAGCAGGTACTGCAGTGCTTTCAGGTACTGTAGTGTTTGCAGGGGCCATGGTGGTGTTTTCAGGGGCCATGGTGGTGGGAGCTACACTTACATCTACAAGAAAAGAAAATACATAACGTGTACATGCACACATACACACACGCACGCACACACACACGCACACACACACACACACACACACATACACATGCACACACACACGCACACACACCACGCACACACACACACACACACACACACACACACACACACACACACAGATTGGATTTTGGAAACTTTCAGAGTATTTGAGAGCATGACTCCGGAATTGAGCCAACAGTTGGATCAGCTGAGAAGAAGTTTTGAGGCTGCCTGCAGTTTCATAGTATTTACACAACTGGGTGAACTCACCCATTCCACAATTCTCTGCAAATCTGAACCATTCCATTATAATACAACGTTTCGGCACTTGGCCATCGTCAGGTAATAACAATGAATACCGTGGAAGCCGCAAAAGAGCATTATATATATATACGCAGAGTATAGCGCCAAAAAAAGATGCGAATTATGTCACCTAGTATGCAGAAGGGGGGTGGGGGGAGGGGACAGAGAGAGAGAAGGTGCAACTAGCACATCACGGAGAAGAAGCAGCAGAAGGCAGTTGGATCAGGATCGCCAAATTGGTCTTGGACACTTACACTGATCACTCCTGAGCTCATCAATGCACAGTCTAGCCACAATGGGCTCACCTTACCAAAATACACCACTGAAAGGTAGAGCAAAAAACACTCTACGCAAAAAACTCTCCACTGCACTCCAGGGTGACTTTGTATACAAAGTGGAGACTGGTTGTTGCGTGCACAGCAAATCGGACTTACAGTTTGCTTTGGGCGTAGGCTTGATGTCGATTGTACTGCTGTCCTTGATCCTGGGTACTGCTGTGCTTGCAGGTGCCATGGTGGTGGAAGCTACACTTACATCTACAAAAAAAAGAAACAAAACATTACATGTACACACACACGTATACACACTCATACACACACACACACACACACACACACACACACACACACACACACACACACACACACACGTATACACACTCATACACACACACACACACACACACACACATACGCACACACACGCACACACACACACACACACACACACACACACACACACACACACACACACACACACACACACCGTAATGAATATCTATGCATGACTGTAGACGCCACTCTGCCCTGTTACTACTAGTATTCTGTACTCGCATAGTAATCTAGCCATGGTGTCTTTGTTGCGTAGGTCTATGCGGTTGCGCATGTAGCCAAATTCCCGGATGTGTCGTGTAGCGGTTTGCACATGCATATGTAGCATGGTGTCCCGTGTGTTGCGGCTGCTGGCACAAGTACGACTGCAGCTGAGTTTTTGTTGTTGTTCCTTCTTCTGGTTAGTTCGAGTTTCCGTTGCTTGTGTCCATTTTGCTAATCTCTCCTTTTCCAATATCATGCATAAACTGTACTATTGAGAGTTGCTGTCGGGTGAGAGTAGCTGTGCTTCGGGGGGACGAGGGTTCCACAACAACACACACACACACACACACACACACACACACACACACATGGAATGAATTTTGGAAACTTTGATAGCATTTGAGAGCATGACTCTGGCATTGAGCCAACAGTTGGATCAGGATCGCCAAAGTGGTCTTGGACACTTGTGCAATTACTTTTGCCTAACTCATAATCAAACTGCTTGAAACGTTTTTGCAATACAATGATCTAGCCAATCAATGGAAAAAACATATCCATCAGTTCTAATAACATGCATGAAGAGCTAGGAAAAAAAGCATAGCGTAGGGCCTGGAGCTTCCAAGCTCTCTCGTTATTATTGTTAGAAATCATGGAGAGCCATGAAGGCGACTAGACGGACATTGTACGCGAAGGGAATATCAAGCAGACGAAGGGGAGGTTTCCTGTTACGCCATAAGCTCTGGCCATAGCATCTCTAGCGATACTGAAGTAAACATTGATCCATTGATAAATTTGGACCGGGATAAAAGGAATTTCAAATTTGGACTTTGTTGTAATTCAACGTTCTGCACACGATAGGAACTAAGGCACTCACAAAATACAATGGGTAATAGGTTTATCCATTACTTTACCGTAGTATAGTAGAAGACTGGAGAGTCCTTAGACTCGAGCGGAATGAATGAAAATGATAGCCAGCCCAGGTTATATGCGCTCCAAGCTTTTGGTGCAACCGGATGCAAAGTTAGCGTATAGCGCATGCGGACTTTAGATCTCTAGATGTACGCTAAAGAGTGGCGTGCAGTTTTAGAGCAGCGAACACAATTACTATTCTAGAGATGTACACAGAGTGCATGCGTCAAATTCAGTTTGAGAAGGGTTGCGTGTGAGCGACATGCAAATAAATTATGAGCGAAGACTTTGTAAACAACAGCCTTCGCTTGCAGCAGGAAGATAACTAATGTTCGTAAACATGAAGTATTATCATACCTTGCAAGAAAGGTGTCTCGGAGTGACCTAGACCTGGAGAAGTCAGGTAAGTGATTTTATGTACTTGCACAACATATTACTATCGCAAATATTTGAAGCATGCTCGAGAATTATTGAATTATCTACTACTATAACAGTCGTGTATTTTGTACTCGTTCTTACCTGGAGTGACGGTAAGCAGGAAGGCCTGAGTGCTGCTGCCACGACTATTACCACCAACGCAGCTGTACTCTCCGGTCAGGTTGTTAGCACCGATAGTGAATGAAAGAGTAGATGTTGCACTGGTGTTAGTGACCTGGACACATGGACACATTACAAGCATGCCGAATTCAGGCAACGTAACACCAGACAACATGAATATGATGACGAAGCGTCTCAGGTGCTTGCTGCAACTAGTACTCAATACCATAACAAGGGCAGAGCGTACTACACAAGGCAGAACAACAGAGACCAATACTTTTCTCGTGAATCCAAGTTTCGGGTTCAACAACACACTCACCAGACGAATATAATGTTGCATTCAATCAGTGAGCACGGCTTTGCTTTATCTCCAAGGTCATACCAAGAGTACATACCCCACCCACCCCCAGAGTGTGCAACTCCCACAAACCATGCTGTCCCGACCCATAGTCGAGTTGCACACACTTGGGGGTTATGTACTCCTGGTCATACATGTACTGCCCTTTCTATCACTCGACAGAGCAGAGGACAGTAGGAGTAGGGGTAGGGTGATTTGGGGGGGGGGGGGCAATGTAACCCTTCATAGTTAGGTACCTGAATCTCAATGACGCGTGAGCAGCACCAGCATTCGGCCCTGTACAGATTTCCCATCATCCACCACACTGCAACCGCGCTCTCCAGCCGCCCTCCACACGTTGCCATAGCATCGTTCTACGCAGGCATGTGCATTTTGATTTTAAAGACCAGCACCAGCAAAACGACACATCCGTTGCTACTGGATTCCATCATACAGCTGCTTCAAGCATAAACCTCTCGTCAGTGAAGGTTAGAATCTCCTGTCAAAAAAAATCACCGTACTAGTCCACCGTCAGACAAACCATGACTTACGGAAGTCACCACAGTGAACATGCCAGACGAGCGTTTAAGCACGGAGCGGGAAGCCAATGTCCAGGAAATGCCATTGCGAGCAAATCCGGTGAAAAGGCACGTCATGGTGATAGCAGTGCCGACTGGGAACTTCTGAGTAGCGGGTGTGTCCGGGGATACACGGGATGTCAGAGCCACTGTACCAACACAACAGTTTGTGTGCGTGTGTGTGGGTGGGTGTGAGAGAGGGGGAGAGAGAGAGAGAGAGAGAGAGAGAGAGAGAGAGAGAGAGAGAGAGAGAGAGAGAGAGAGAGAGAGAGAGAGAGAGAGAGAGAGAGAGAGAGAGAGAGAGAGAGAGAGAGAGAGAGAGAGAGAGAGAGAGAGAGAGAGAGAGAGAGAGAGAGAGAGAGAGAGAGAGGGAGGGAGAGTGAGAGAGACAGAAAGAGTGAGAGAGAGAGAGAGAGTGAGTGAGAGTGAGAGAGAGAGAGAGAGTGAGTGAGTGAGAGAGAGAGAGATAGACAACAGTGAGAAGTGAATACATCAAAAGCATAATGTACACACCCACACCCACACACATGTATGCACATACACGAGCACGCACGCACGCACACAAATGTGCACAAACACACACGTGTGCAGCATGTGTACAAGCACACACAAGTACACACACACACACATTATTATAATGCAGACACGCACACACATGCAACCCATGTACACACAATAAAGCCAAGAACAACTGGCATACCATCGCAGTTCCTGTCCGATGACTGCAGTTGCTTGTCTGGGCAAGTACATGTGTGTTGTCCAGCAATAGTGTTGTCGTCCAAGCACTCTGCCTCTGGCACGCAGTCATGCTGTCCTGTTGAACACTGGTTCATATCTGTATGCAGAAAATATAGAATGACATCATTATGACTGTAGATGACATCATAGAGATTTTGAATTTACTACAAAGTAGCAAGAGAACTAGAGCGTGCAAACTCCGCAGCTAGTCTGATCCACTGCAAAATATTTTTATTTGCTGATGCCACCTTTACCAGGACGCACGATGCACATCGCACAAAGTTCACGCAGAGCATACGCTGAGCGCCGACCCGCGAGTTTCCGTCTCTGTCACTTTCAAAACAAAGACTAACTTTTCGCCCGCTTCTGTAGCTTTTTATCGTACAGTTGCGCTCGGTGAAATCCAACCCACATTTGGCACCCTCATTTGAACGGCATGGCCCTTGACGCCGTGGAAATGGCACGAATGCGGCTGGACGTACACATGTACGAATACAATGATGTAATCGGAACTGGTCCAGGACGCCAGTTTTGGTCGGATTTCACCGAGCCCAACTGTACTAGTAGTGAGGTTTAGTGAAACCTGGCAAGGTTCCAGCGGCAAGGTTCCAGCGGCAAGGTTTCAGCGGCAAGGTTCCAGCGGCAAGGTTCCAGCGGCAAGGTTTCAGCGGCAAGGTTCCAGCGGCAAGGTTCCAGCGGCAAGGTTCCAGCGGCAAGGTTCCAGCGGCAAGGTTCCAGCGGCAAGGTTCCAGCGGCAAGGTTCAAGCGGCAAGGTTCCAGCGGCAAGGTTCCAGCGGCAAGGTTCCAGCGGCAAGGTTTCAGCGGCAAGGTTCCAGCGGCAAGGTTCCAGCGGCAAGGTTTCAGCGGCAAGGTTCCAGCGGCAAGGTTCCAGCGGCAAGGTTCCAGCGGCAAGGTTCCAGCGGCAAGGTTCCAGCGGCAAGGTTCAAGCGGCAAGGTTCCAGCGGCAAGGTTCCAGCGGCAAGGTTCCAGCGGCAAGGTTCCAGCGGTAAGGTTCCAGTGGCAAGGCTCCAGCGGCAAGGTTCCAGCGGCAAGGTTCCAGCGGCAAGGTTCCAGCGGCAAGGTTCCAGCGGCAAGGTTCCAGCCACAAGGTTCAAGCGGCAAGGTTCCAGCGGCAAGGTTCCAGCGGCAAGGTTTCAGCGGCAAGGTTCCAGCGGCAAGGTTCCAGCGGCAAGGTTTTAGCGGCAAGGTTCCAGCGGCAAGGTTCCAGCGGCAAGGTTCCAGCGGCAAGGTTCCAGTGGCAAGGTTCCAGCGGTAAGGTTCCAGTGGCAAGGTTCCAGCGGCAAGGTTCCAGCGGCAAGGTTCCAGCGGCAAGGTTCCAGCGGCAAGGTTCCAGCGGCAAGGTTCCAGCGGCAAGGTTCCAGCGGCAAGGTTCCAGCGGTAAGGTTCCAGTGGCAAGGTTCAAGCGGCAAGGTTCCAGCGGCAAGGTTCCAGCGGCAAGGTTCCAGCGGTAAGGTTCCAGTGGCAAGGTTCCAGCGGCAAGGTTCCAGCGGCAAGGTTCCAGCGGCAAGGTTCCAGCGGCAAGGTTCCTGCGGCAAGGTTCCAGTGGCAAGGTTCCAGCGGCAAGGTTCCAGCGGCCACAGACTGCCTCCAACAGTATTACTCATGATCTCGAAAAAGGGCCGATGGGCCAAACCCAACGGAGCTACAAAACACTTTCGTTGACATTTTCATTGGCCCTGGTCTGAAAGGCTATGTGATTTTCTCAACATGTGCTAGCGACCGGGCAGAAAAGGAGGACAAACACACAAGGATGTGTGTGTGTGTGTGAGAAAGAGAGAGAGAGAGAGAGAGAGAGAGAGAGAGAGAGAGAGAGAGAAAGAAAGAAGAGAGAGAGAGAGAGAGAGAGAGAGAGAGAGAGAGAGAGAGAAAGAGAGAGAGAGCAAGAGAGGGCAATAGAGCAAGAGAGAGAATGCGGAAACTCACCATAGCAACCTCCATGTGCGCTAATACCCGGTCCCTGGAATCCACGCTTACAACCACACGTATAGCTTCCTCTGGTGTTGGTGCAGGTTGCATATTTATGGTCACAGTCATTCAACTGAGCATCTTGACACTCGTCCACATCTGCAGAAATACATCCCAATCAAAAGAGTAACCTTTCTTGAGAGACAGCAGCAATGAACACAACGATACACCACAACAGCTGCCTTAATGTTTCGTGCCGAAACCAAAGTCGGCGGAGTGGTAGCGAGATTTCAGCCAAGTATTTATTCGTAAAACAAGCCTGCCTTCCTCTTCTCCAAACTCTCTGAAACTGTACTAGTACAAGTACAGTGTATGTGCAAATAAGTTGACAATGGTAGGAATGGTAGGAATGGTAGGAATGGTAGGAATGGTAGGAATGGTAGGAATGGTAGGAATGGTAGGAATGGTAGGAATGGTAGGAATGGTAGGAATGGTAGGAATGGTAGGAATGGTAGGAATGGTAGGAATGGTAGGAATGGTAGGAATGGTAGGAATGGTAGGAATGGTAGGAATGGTAGGAATGGTAGGAATGGTAGGAATGGTAGGAATGGTAGGAAAGTGAATACGGTTGTCACGCAGAGCTTCATGGCACATCGGACAAGGCTCTGCCTGCTTCATGTGTGGAGCACTGTCGCAGGTCAAAGCCACCTGTGCACCTGTGCTTGGCATACAGCTAGACCAACACAGCATAAGAGAACAAATATTGCGACTGGGTCAGCACAGTGCCCAGATGCATAGCCCGTATGGGCACGGGGGGCAAATGCCCGCCCCTGAAAAGTTCGACCTAGGTTCAGCATGCACATAATGCCCAGGATGACATGCACCAACCATCCTAGGGTACATGGATGATACAGCTGCCATGCACCCCTCCCCCGCCCCCTAAGAGGGGGACCAGCTACGCCCCTGCTGCCCACATGTACTTACCGACACAGCTTTTATTAAAGGTAAAAAGAAAAAGACCTATAGTAATTTTTTCTTCAGACTTTTCCCGTTTGTCTCTTTCCCTCAAACCAGTTAATACCTATAGTAAAATGAATTAAATATTATATCCGTAAAAAAAAACTTACCGACACAGCTGTTGTTTCCAGTACCAGTATATCCCACTGCACAAGGACAGTGATAGGAGGCAAGCTGATCCTGGCAAGTGCTGATTGTGGGTGCGCACACCGCAACACCCTCCGCGCACTCGTCCATTGGCACACAGGACAAGTTGGAAGAACCGCCGTCGCGGAAACCGCTTGCGCATGCTCCGCATCGGTAGCCCAGTGACGGGGCGGGCTCGTCCGAGCATTGCCGCAGTCCACCGCAGGGCTGCGACAGGCAAGCGTCGATATCGCCCTCGCAAATACGGCCAGTTTGACCTGAACCAGTACAAACGAGCAGAATAAATCAAGTAAGCGAACAATGGCAAGTACATGTATAGAAAAGCATGCCAAGGTGACCACCTGTCCAGGAAGACCACTGAAACCAGGAGCAAGGGATGCTATTTCCAGTCCAATGACAGGGCCGGCAGAGCCGCTCCGGTCGGTCCGGCCATGGCCGGACCAGCTTTTCGGCCACCTACGATTTTTGGTCTGCTTGACAGCTATGGCTTCTTCCAGCGAAGTATCTGCGCCAGAAGTGCCAGTCCACCCAACCACTTCCTTCGTGTTCCCTCGGCGGGAATTTCATCCGGATGTGGTATGATGGCTCTGTGGGCATGGCCGGACCAATCAACAATTGCTTCCGACCGACCGAGCACCCCTGACACACAACAAAGCGGAACGTAGCAGCGCGAAAGACACCCGGCAGCGATACTAACCTATCAATGACGAATAGCTGCCTCCCGAAGATTGAGATGTAAGCATGATGATGATGATGCTCGTTGTGTTCAACTGCACTTTGCGTTCCTTTTTATATTGAGTTCCAGTGCACTTTGTGTTCATTTTCCTCTCTTTTTTCATTCTAATTGAATTTTGATGTATTGCGTTTTGCTTGCCCGTACAAGAGGCTGTTCAAATGATGAGGATGCTGATGATGATGATGATGATGTGACTCACCCACTACGCCATGCCATAAAAGTCAAAGTCCACACAGAAATGTCAGTCTAAATCCATTTGTTCACCCTTCCTGCCGGGCTGTTAGTTTGTTAGCATAGTACTTATTTCTTCATTTTCACAAAACATACTTCAAATGTCATTTCATTTATGAAGCCCATGGCTTTATACTCGAATATACCTCCATGACTTTAAAAGTGGGAACATACGGTAATAAGGCGGCGTGGAGACAAGAAACCCAATAAACCCAATATCGACAAAAACGAGAGAGCTTGGAAGCTCAGGGCCCTACGCTATGCTTTTTTGCCTTGATGACCTAGACAAAAAAAAGCATAGGGATGTTATAAATTCTTTAAAAAATTCCTTTTTTTAAGACATAACCTGGGATTCGAACCCGCACTATCGCGCGCCCTGCATTCATCCCCCGACGCACTTCGCATACATACTAATTCTTCCAAGTTGTTTCACATTGTGATCTTGCATTTGAAAGCCCTATTTGAGTTATATGCATTGTGGCCAGCCGTCTTTGATGGCACGGTACGGTAGGGGATAGGGACGGGACAGGTACGATCGAGGGTAATACGACACCGTCTCCCGTACCGTACCGTACCATCAAACACAGCTGGCCACATACAGCTTCCCGCAATATTCAAATAGGGCTTTCAAACGCAAGATAATAATGTAACGCAACTTGGAAGAATGGGTATGAATGCGAAGTGTATGGGGGAATGCATGTAGGGCGATAGTGCGGGTTCGAATCCCAGGATATGCCTGAAAAAAAGGAGAATTGAAAAATTTATAACATCCTATGCTTTTTTGCCGTCAGATACGGATAGCGCCAGGCGTGACACAAACAAACAAACACACAAACAAACACCAAATTAAAGCTGTGTGGACCCTGGCTAGCGCCAGACGTTACTGAAGTAACGTCTTCTGCATAGCTACGGGAATAAAGTGAGCGCACTCATACCACGACACCAATGGAACAACTTTAAAAAATCCTCTTCAAATCCTTTCATATTGTTTCGTTGGTATCGTGGAATGAGGGTGCTCACTTTATTTTTATCGATATAACAGGTTCTAGGAATCATTGTTGTATCATTTGTTATAGCTACGTACGATGATCGCCTTGCTATAAATAATTCTATCATAAAACTTTCCTTTGCTGACTATGTATAATAATAATGAAGCACCCGAATTGATGTCATCTCTCACCTGGCAAGCATGCAGTACATGTAAGTAGAGTGAAGGGTGTTGAGACAGCAGTGATGGCTGGTGCAGCGCTGCACTCTCCGAAACAGCTGCAGAGGGTGATTGGCACGGTAACGATGGATGCCTGGTTGGCCGAGTCAACGGCACGCACGCGCAGCACAATATTGCTGCTCGGCTGACGCTGGCTGGGAGTCCAGCTAAACACCAATCCAGACTGCGGGGAGTAAGCCGACACCAGATCACCAGGGACAATCCCGCTGGAGGTGGCCACTTCGATAACCGAGATGTTAAGAGTGAGCGCGGCAGCAGCACGAACAGTCACGTTGCTGGTTACATTGAAGTTAGCATTGAGGACATCAGTAGACAATGTTATCAGTGGTGGACTGTGAGCTGAAAGAAAACAAGTCACGGCACACAAGTCGAGTTAATCGTATTCTTGTGCAAGCTGACGGGAAGGTCCGACTTCAATTCAAGCCCGAGCAATATACAGTCAAACCTCGTTAGGACGAACTTCAAGGGACTGAACAAATTTGTTTGTCTTATCGGGAGTTCTTCTTATCCAGGTAAGTACAATGACACAGTGCATAGAATCACGACTGTGTCGAAAGTTCGTACAACGCACTGATTGATTTGTTCAAAACACGCTTGAAAACAATTTGCATTGTACGTACAATATGACCTCGACTATTGAAAAAAAGAAGAAGAAAAAAGGCAGCCAGCGCACGCGCACGCTCGTGGACCGAAAGTTCGTACTACATGTACATGACCACACTGACTTTGTTCAAATCACACTTGAAAATAGTTCGTCTTCGCGAAAGTTCGCTGTACAGAAGTTCGTCGTAAACGAATAATTTTGACTTGAATTGATGCCTGGCCAACCATAGGATTGGCCTTAGTTCGTACTAATGGAAAGTTCGCCTTATCAGTGTTCGTCCTAACGAGGTTTGACTGTAGCTTGCAGCCTATATCCGTCATATCTTCTGAAAATCGTAGTCCAGTTGCTGTCTGATGATCAGATAAAACCGTGAGAAACGCTTTGATTCCTTTCAAGTGTGCGTCAAAGCAATTTTGTATATGTATGTATGTTGACACAAACCAGCCTGAAGTTCAATCTTGAAGTTGGATCCGTAGTGAAAACAAGAATCTTCACAGGGTCCAGGCTATGAAACAAGAGAATCGCGGTGCTACTATCCATAACGCCTCAAAAACGCATTCTGATTCATATGTACACAGAATACACAACACAATAGTCCTGGAAAGCTTCACGTTGTTGCACTGTGACAAAATTGTGTGCATGTCCATGTGTACATACTGTTAGAATACATTCATCTTTTATTGAGAGGCTAGCCATAATGGTTAGGTGAGAAGGCAGACATGCCCGTGTATCTGGTGAAGTAAAAAAAAAAACAACTAAAAACAACAACAACAACAAGACCCAAGCGCACAAGAGTGTGTGTACATACCCACGGCAATGGAGGATTGCTGAAGAGCTTTCTTCGTCACGAGGGTAGATGTGGCCAGTGTGGTGCTGCCAGTTGCGATGAAGTCGGCCAGGCAAGCGAAGTCCCCATTGCAAGTGGCGTTTGCCTCGCTGCTGATGTGCAGCACGTCGACAACAGCCTGGTTGGGCACCACGCCAGCTGGATTGTATGTTGCATAGGTGGTGGCGTCATCGTAGGTGAACACATCATGGTCTGGCTGAACTTGCACTGTTTGTTATGACAGACAGACGGACACAGATGGACACGGACATACAGGCAGGAAGACATGCAGGCAGACAGACATGCAGGCAGACAGACATGCAGGCAGACAGACATGCAGGCAGACAGGCATGCGGGCAGGCAGACATGCAGGCAGACAGACATGCAGGCAGGAAGACATGCAGACAGACAGACAGACAGGCAGACCGGCAGACAGGCAGACAGACATGCAGGCAGGCAGGCAGACAGGCAGACAGACATGCAGGCAGGCAGGCAGACCGGCAGACAGGCAGACAGACATGCAGGCAGGCAGGCAGGCAGACACAGATGGACACGGACAGACAGACAGACATACAGACAGACAGACAGACCAACACACAGACATACGAGCGCAGGTACAGCGTCAGTGCACGGGACAGATGCAAACAAGAATGCAAGTAACTCCCAGGAATGCACAATTGATAATGAGCAGCTGCCTCGACCCATTTTCGGAAATACGTCAATTTTCATGATGCGACCAGCTCTATGCATCCATTCTCTATGCACAAGATTGAAAAATGGAAAAAGGAATAAGAAAAGTGAATTTGAAGCCAGGGATTCCTGGGACACAAAATCGAAATAAATGGCGGGGTACATGTGGACAATGTGCCAACAAGGCGGACAGAATGGAGCTGACCTGTCCATTGTACATCTGAATTTGGCGCAAAAATGGCATTAGAAGTTGCACGACTTGGTGAAAACACCGCAGAACATGGGATATGGTTAGGACAGCATTTCATGGCCAGCTAGTTGTACAGTTTTTTTAGAAGTGCGGAAAAAAACTTACGAGTTGCCGCTGCAGCCAGAACACTTGCCAAGTTGCTCAGATCAACGCTGGGACGAGACATGTTGAGAAGACCATCCACGGTGGAGAAGGGATCATGCGCCACTGTGCAACGAACACATACAAACATCAGTTCGCATCTTGAAATGCACGTGAAGGCATGCACCCATGCACCGTGTGCTGGCGTAAGTACAACTGAGGCCGGAGGACACGAGGTGAGGGCAGCTAAGCGCTGAAACCTCCACAACTCTGAGTTCGCCAGCATGAAAAACAGGCATGCAGCAGAAACATCAATAAATACTGTGGTGTCTTGTATTAAAGCCTGGCTCGTATGGAAGCCTGTTTTTGAATACAAGCCGGATTTTCAAGATACACTGGCAGATAAGCCTGATTTTAGTGTTGACACGCCGCACAGAAATACATGTACCTGGTTTGAATAGATGCCTAACTCTGACATCGGCTTCTACAGGCATAAGCCCGGCTTTAATACGCGACGTGACGGTCATCAAACTCCAAAAAAGCGTATACACTGCTATCAGACATGCTCTACCAGAACATGTTCTTGTTACATTGCAGTGGAGCGCAGCAGCAACCAACCTTGGAAGGCCAAGAAGAGGACAGGTGCTTGCTGAACGGAGACTTGCACACTGCTTGAGCCGTACGACATCACAAGACTGCCGCTGTGCAGTCTGAAATAGGTATGGTTGCCGGCGCGGATACTCTGCACCAGCTGATCATCTCCGACAATGGCAAGGGTGTTGTTGCTGTATGCAAACACCTCCACGCTCAGATTCTGCTGCAACTTACTGATCCCTGTGGTGAGCCAAAGAACACGAAGCACACGGACAAGCAGATGTTAATGGGATCTTGCTCAGCGAACATGTGTGAACATCTTGAGATCTCAGGGTGGCCAGCCGCTTCATACAGTGTTCTCTCGTCCTAGGCACCAACTATGAGAACTCGCACTTGCATGCTGTGTAGCTGTGTGAGATAATAGCCAGCTTGATGAGCAAGAAACCTAATGAGCCGTGATGATCTCTGCCCAAGTTGGCTGAAATCTGGTCAGGCCCAATTCATGCAGCACTTTACTGTGCTCTTCACCAAATCAATGTCAAAAATTGCCGTTTAGTGACACAGCAAGCACACACATATATACACACACACACACACGCACACGCACACACGCACACACACACACACATGCTCACACCTAAGACCTTGAACTTGCCCATTGCCGTGGGCAATGATAGCGAAAGGACTAAATCGGCGGCAACCGGCAGAAAGGTTCGTGGCGCTTGAGATCGGGGGGCACACACACACACAAATACACAGACACACAAACAAACACACACACAGACACACACACAGACAGGCAGACACACACACATACACACACGCAGAAGAAAACATTGATCAGCTTACAGAGGTTGATGGCTATGCGGGTGATAGACGTGAAGTTGAGTGCATTAACCGGCGCCACTTCGTGACGGGTGAAAATGGAGAAATTGTACGCTGCTGGTGTGGCAAACCTTGCCATCAGATACTCGCCAATGCCATGGAAATCAAAGTCCTCGCCCTTGAAGTTGGTCAAGTGAGGGTCACCAAATCCAGAAGCTGTGGACAAAGTGGACAGAGCAGACCATATGGGATTAATACGTAGCAGGTAGCAACCAAACTTTTCCAAAACTTCAGTTTGTGTTTGATAGGACAGTTTTTATCGGCTATAGAGTGACCGGATATGTATAGATTATAGACCGGTTAGGAGGTCTATATATCCTGTATAGACCAACTATGAGGTCTATAATATATTTATCGTGTTCTCCACGCAATAGTTTCTCTTCATATACGACATATCCTTGTAATTCTAATATTTATAATATACTATAGCCTATACCGCATTGTACGGCATTGCAGGATCAAGGACATTGTTTAAACTAAGTTCAGCATCGGTAGCACAGTGGCTGGGTGGTAAGGAAGAGTGACTGAGATTCACATGGTTGTGGGTTCGAATCCCATCTTGTGTATTTCTGCTTTCTTCAAAAATTTATTTTTCTAAGTTGGAGAGAAAATTTCTTAGTCCAAGAAGTTCTAAGGGGTCAAATATAAGTAGTCAAATATATTAGGGAGGTTCCGGAGTACGATTTTTCGTGCCAAAATCCGTGGAGGCTCTACGGATTTTTTATACGTTGTTTTCGAGCAGTGAAAAGTTCCGGGGTACGGAACTTATGTGTTTGCCGTCATTGCCTAGGTTACGATCGCAAACACGTCACATTCCCCCGCTATGCCTTTTTATTTTGAAAATTTGTACCGAAATCAAAACTTCCCGCGAAAAATCGATGTTTCTCGTACCAAATTTGTATGCGAAAAATCTTTCTGCACCCGATGACGCAAAATCTCCACACGAAACATGGTTCGTATGAAAGCCAGTCCACACGGATTCTCCGTGCAGAAAAATCGTATGGAGCACGCCTGGAAAAAATCCGTAGTGCCCACACGGATTTTGGCACGGAAAATCGTACCCCGGAACCTCTCTATTGTGTATTTGACTAAGCAGTCAAATACGCGATATATTTGACCGCTTTGGTATCAGGGAAATTAGTGGGGTCAAATACTAAGAAGGCGATAAAAGAATTTATCACTCTTCTATATCGACCTCCACTCGTGATCCTTGACTGGTCCTATATTACCCATATCGCCGCAATATCGACCGCTTATATCGACCGCTTGTATCGACCGCTTAGGCATTGTAATCTTTCGACTTTGGAGGGACTTAGAATCTTTCTCTCCACTTCAAAAAGAAAAATTGAAAGAAAGAAGACAAAGGAAGAGAACAAGCAGGATTTGACCTCACAACAGTACGAATCTCAAGCAACCCCTTATACCACCCAGCCACTGTGCTGCAGATGCTGAACTCTGTTGTACTTACAGTCTTGTACCCAAAATAGGCAACATCCTATGTACACTATAGTACTAATGCTATACTAAAAAGGTTAAAAATAGCTCCTAAAGGTTCAAATTTTGGGGTTATGGCAAAGGAATCGTGATAAATAGGATATTGACCTCGACTTCGGTCCATATGGGAAATATAGACCTCGTCTTGGTCAATATCCTATACTTATCACTCTTCTATATCGACCTCCACCAATTCTCGTGATCCTTGACTGGTCCTATATTACCCATATCGCCGCAATATCGACCGCTTATATCGACCGCTTGTATCGACCACTTGTATCGACCACTTGTATCGACCACTTAGGCATTGTAATCTTTCGATTTTGGAGGGACTTAGAATTTTTCTCTCCACTTCAAAAATAAAAATTGAAAGAAAGAAGACAAAGGAAGAGAACAAGCAGGATTCGAACTCACAACAGTATGAATCTCAAGCAACCCCTTATACCACCCAGCCATTGTGCTGCAGATGCTGAACTCTGTTGTTCTTAAAGTCTTGTACCCAAAATAGGCAACATCCTATGTACACTATAGTACAAATGCTATACTAAAAAGGTTAAAATAGCTCCTAAAGGTTCAAATTTTGGGGTTATGGCAAAGGAATCGTGATAAATAGGATATTGACCAAGACGAGGTCTATATGGGAAATATAGGCCGAGTAAAAGACCGAGGTTCGCCGAGGTCTTTTACATACATATCGGCTACAGTGATATTGGTACGAGATATCGAAGGCAATACGTATTTTATCCGGTAAAAATATCACTATAACCAATATTATCGGATGTAATGATATATCAGATATTATAATGGCAACAAAGAATCAAAACATGCATAACATACTATATTATTATCGGCTATAGTGATAACTTTAAAATACATGTAGCAATAATAATCAAAGGCCCTATTTTTTTTACTTTCTTCACGTTACTGATTTTTATAGTGATAACGTTACATGTACATAACAGAATTTTTTATGGAAATGCGGGCACTGTCAACTATGCAGCATGTTCATTTTTGTCAAAACACCCTGCTGGAAGTATTTCCTTGCCTTTCATGTGTCGATCGAGAAAAAAATCGATCGTATCGCATAATAGTGATGCATGGGTTATAGTGTTAAAATCACGGAAATCAAAAGGGTACGCTATAGCCGATACAGACTGGATGTCATTACATCGAACTCTGCGTACATGCTTACAAATGTTCAGCCGCTGCGGTTCGCCCCGGAACCAATCCCGTAACCAGAACTTAGCCCTGAACACTAACGGTATTGCGTTGTATGAAGTAGGTAAATAGATCACAGTCTTAGGCTGCCTACAGCCGAGTTTCATGCAAGCCGTGAATTTTTTTAGTCTACAAAGAGAGTGAAGCAACAGCAGCAGCAGCAGCAGTTCATCGTTACCTTGAGACAGCGCCACTCTGTTTGTGGTGGCTCTGGGCGAGCGGCGCTTGCCAAAGAACTCGTTCAGAACGCCTCCCTGCTGGCAGTAGGCCAGGATGGAAGCATCGGTGACTTGGTATGTCTCGTATGCCTGAAGGGCACCACTATCAACCAGAAGTCCGTCACTGCCATAGCAGCAGACCTGACAACACAAAGCAAAAACACACACACACACACACACAAAACAAACATGGGTTGTAAGCATGAAACACACGATACTCACTCTTTAGACAGGGGCGGGGGGCAACTCATTCAGCAAGCAGAGCCGGGCACAGGCAATACACTTGATCAGTTTGCGAGAACTGTGGCAATAGGCCCAGCGAGAAGGTAGATTTTGCCTGTGCTTCTGGTGAAGTAAAATACTCCTAAACAAACAAACAACACAATAGGACCAGCAGTACCAAGATACAACACAAGGCAAGCAGGCAGCTAGCTCACGCATGGCTTACCGAAGAAGCCTGGTAGCGTGATCCATTGGAGACCGGGGTTGACCTGTAGCAGAGATAGTTGCCAGACACTGCAGGCTGTCGCTCAAAGATGCCGAGTACAGAAGCCGTTGCATGCTCTGCCGGGCACTGGAGGAGATTGGCGGTGGACTGGAGGTAGGACGGAGTCTCCACAAGGGCACGGCATTTCTTGATGCCGCGAAGACGCTGGCTGCAGCCCGGTGTTAGCCTGATGACTAGCTGACGTGCTACGCTGGCTGGGCTGAAGTAGCGCTCGATGTTGCCAGTCGCGGGACGCCATGCAGACACCACAGCCTTGGGGTTACCCAGCCAGCTGACACCATACTTGGGGTAGAAGAACAGGGCGAATGTCTGACACTCGTCACCAATGATGGCTGCCTGGAATGTGTTGCGCTGAAGCGGAAACAGGACAAACATATAGACAGTAATATTATTTTTCGTCATGCGCGCGCGCTCGCACACACACACGCAAACACACACACACACTTGCACACACACACACACACACACACACACACACACACACACACACACACACACACACACACACACACACACTTACACACACACACACTTACACGCACACACTTACACACACACACCCACACTTACACACACACACACACATATACACACACAACCACACTTACACACACGCACCTTGACCTTGACAAACAGCTGCCGTTAAAGGGCTAAGCTGCCCTCATGAGGAGAGAAACAAAGGGGTAGCATCACGGCCTCGCGGCAGAACACCCGGCCTCATGCCGCTGCAGATCCTGCAATCTGCGATATCTCTCGCCGCACGCACAGCAGAACTTGAACTCAAGATGCTCCTTCGCTGTTGGTCGCCTGCCACGCTCGCAATTGTGCCGTTCAAATCCACCAGCAGATCGAAAGCACCGGTTACATGACGGGCAGTGGAATGGGCAACTATAGACGCACACACACACACACACACACACACACACACACACACACCATTGGACCATTGGACGCCCATCGCCGGAGGCGATGATAGCGATGCTACAGCAGAAGCCATGGCAGCTTGTGCTGGGATTGCACCATTCAACAGCTTGCAAGGCTGAAGAATTGACCGCCACTATTCAGCCTGGTCTACACCACACAGCTATGAAGTGGCTTTTTCTGGCCAGTAAATCCCTACACACACACACACACACACACACACACACACACACACACACACACTTACACACACACACACACACACACACTCACACACACACACACACACTTACACACACACACACTTACACACACACACACGCACTTACTTGTACTTTCTGGTTCTGTTGCTCACTGCCAAAACTGGTCACGTGGGTCTCCCCGGGAGAGGGGAGAGAGACTCAAAAGGAATCTTGGAAAGATGATTCAATTGGCTATTGAACCGCCCAACGGCCGACACCCCCGAAATCCCCAAAACGCTGGGTGGACTTGAAAATGATCGCACTTATGGGCTCACCACACCTCAGTAAGTGGGTGAGGACAAGGTTCAGAAAAAGGATTGACGGCATCAGGGTATCCGTCCCGCACTTACACACACACACACACACACACACACACACACACACACACACACACACACACACACACACACACACACACACAAACACACACATCCACGCACGCGCGCACACACACACACACACACACACACACACACACACACACACACAAACGCACATACACATGCACACACATACACATACACACATGTACACACACACACACACACACACGCACACATATATACACACACACACACCTTGAACCTTGAATGTGCCCATTGCCGACGGCAATGATAGAGAAGGGACTATCCGCTAGCTTTGCAGTACGGAGCGTGGCGCTTGAGATCTCCGGGACGACAGCAGACCTTTCCACATGTGCAGCGGAAGCCAGAGTCAGGATCAGGAGGAGCACGGGCGGGAGGACGACGATGAGCAATCTGCCTCCAGGCAGAGCGATCCTGGGCAGCATCAAACCAGCAGTCAGAAGGCACAGGGGGCTGATGGAGCGGAGATCATCCACGATGACGTCACGCCACCGCTTGCGTGGACCATGGCGAGGGTGTGTTGCAGGGAGCTTCCCAAACAAAACTCGCTTTGGCATACGATCGTCGTTCATCCGGCCAACATGGCCAAGCCAACACAGTCGATATTCCCGGATGATGTCCGCGACGTCACAGTCAATGCCGAGGGTTCGGGCAATGGTAATGGAGGTGACGCGGTTGTCCCACTGGTCCCGCCTGGATACGCCAACGATGATGCGAACACACTGGTGATAAAAGGTATTGAGAGAGCGCAGGTCCGGTGCCTTCGGCGTCCACGTCTCTGCTCCGTACAGGAGGGTCGTCAGCACATGGGTGATGTACACGCGGCGCCGACAGAGGAGAGATAACGACCGATTCTCAAACACCGGGACACGGGAACTGCCGAACACACTCAAAGCCTTGGCGAGACGGGACTGAACATCATGCGAATACTGCCCGTCCCGATGGATGACGCTGCCAAGGTACGTAAAACTGTCAACGGCCTCGATGGTGCTCTCACCAAGAGACACCGGCTCATTCATGGGCGAATTGACAGTCATGCATTTGGTCTTCGATAGACTGACCGTGAGGCCCCACCGCGCTGCACACAAAATAAACAAATCAGTGCACCGATCAAAAATCGGCGTAGTGGTGGCATACACTGCAGCATCGTCCGCAAACTGGGACTCTGTGACGACATCACGTTGCAGGCGGGACTTGGCAGTGCGGTCTCCAACCAACTTTCGGCCAACTCGGTAGTGCAGCTCAACACCAGCGTCCGGGCACATGGAGCGCCAATACCCAACGACTGCAGAGAAATACAAGTTAAATAAGCCGGGTGCCAAAGTACAACCCTGGCGCAGACCGTTGTTGACGTTAATGGCAGCAGTGACACCACCCTCAATGCGGACCTTCACCTCCATCGACTCGTGCAAGGACTTGATGATACTGAGCATCCTTGGGGGGACACCAAACTTCTGGAGCAAACACCACAGCGCTGGACGGGGATCGAGTTGTATGACTTTCGCAAATCGACAAAGAGAGCATACAACGCCGAGTCATGTTTGTAAGATTCCTCGATCAATTGCCTGGCAACAAAGATCATGTCTGCACACCCTCCGCCCTTGCGAAAACCAGACTGTGACTCGGGAAGCATCTTCTTCAAGATTGTCTGCAGCCGGTTCTGAAGAATCCGCGCAAACAACTTACCAACAACATCCAAAAGGCTGATACGCCTCCAGTTGTCACAAACTTTCAAGTTGCCTTTCTTAGGTATTGGAACAACGATGGCATCCCGCCACTCAGCCACAACCGATGCCTCATCCCACACCGAATGCATGAGTTGAACTAGGCGATCATGGAGCTCCTCACCACCCGAGATAATCATTTTGGGAAGGATACCTGATTCCCCACCGAACTTTCCAACCTTCATGGAGCGCATCGCCGCAAGCATCTCTGCCTTCGTCGGGGATCATCCAGCTCGGTCTGAAGTGGCTCATCCGGGATAGCTGTCAAGACAGCTGGATCGTACTGGCTC